CTCATTCTTCTTTTTCTATGTGTCGTGTCCCTTCAGGACTTAGGCGATAATGGCTCTCCACTATTTCCTTTACTTTGTAGCTCTTAATAAATTTTGTCGTTTTGTTATTTCTCCTAAACCTTGTTCCGCCATCCATTTGTTCATTCTTCTTCTTCTATGTGCCGTGTCCCTTCAGGACTTAGGTGAATATGGCTCTCCACTATTTCCTCTCCTTTGTAGCGCTTAATAAAGTTTGTGTTTTTTTGTTTCGCTAACCCTGTTCCGCCATCCATATACTCAAACTCATTCTTCTTTTTCTTCTATGTGCTGTGTCCCTTCAAGACGTTGGCAGTCATGGCGCTCCACTATTTCCTTTCCTTTGTAGCTTTTAATAAATTTTGTCTTTTTGTTATTTCTCCTGAAACTTGTTCCACCATCCATTGACTCATGCTCATTCTTCTTCTATGTGCTGTGTCCCTCCAGGACTATTTGTTTATGTCTCTCCACGATTTCTTGTAATTTGTAGCTCTTAATAATTTTTGTCTTTTTTGTGATCTCTCCTAAACCTTGTTCCGACATCCATTTACTCAAGCTCATTTTTCTTCTTCTACGTTTCGTGTCACTTCAGGATCATGGCTCTCCACAATTTCCTTTCCTTTGTTGTTCTTAATAAATTTTGTCATTTTCTTATTTCTCCTGAACCCTGTTTCACCATCCATTTACTCAAGCTTATTCTTCTTATTCTGTATGCCGTGTCCTTTCAGGACGTAGGCGATCATGGCTCTCCACAATTTCCTGTTTTTGTAGCTCTTAATAAATTTGTTCTTTTTTTGTTATTTATCCTAAACCATGTTCCGCCAACTATTTTTCCAATTTCATCTTCTTCTATGTGTCCCTTCAAGGTTTAGGCGCTCCACAATTTCCTGTCCTTTGTAGCTCTTAATTTTTTTTTTTTTTTTGTTATTTCTCCTAAACCTTGTTCCGCCATCATTCTTCTTCTTCTTCTATATGTTGAGTCTTTTCAGGAATTAAGTGATCATGGCTCTCCACAATTCTATAGACTTCGTGGCTCTCAATAAATTTTGTCTGTTCCGCCATTTAATTACTCAAGCTCATTAAATATTTTATGCGTCGTTTTCTTCTACCCCTCTTGCCTTCAATCTGTTCTGTGAGTATCAATTTTCCAAACCGTCTTTCTTCATGATCTGCCTTAAAAATGACAACTGTCTCTTTGTGATGGCTATTTTTCTTTCCGCTTCCACTAAAACTTCGACGTTTCTGCTATGATCGGTTCATGGCATTCTCAGCATTGTTCGGTAGAACTATAATTCTCTTGTTCCAAGTCTCTTCATCCTTGAGGAAATTGTCCAGCATTCACTGCCACGGCAGACGACTTATACAGACAATAAAAAAAGAATGAAAATGGAGGAAATAAAGAATGAAAGAAAAACGAACGAAAGAGAAAGTAATGGCAACATAATTGTTCTGAAAATTGAGTTTTATATTCCTTTTTTGTCTTTATTAAAATATTTAAAAAAAGGTCCTGAAAAGTCCCTTGTTCTGAAAATGAAACAGGACTAGGGATTTTAATTTAATGCTTTAATTGAATTTGAAGTTTTTAGTTTCTGCTTTTGAAACATGGTAATTTCTGTGTAGCGATGGAATTATATTTTGAAATTATTAACTTTATAATACATACATATATATATATATATATATATATATATATATATATATATATATATAGCTGCGTTCCAGAATTTTTCAGACATTTTCAAGAAAGACATTTATTAATTTCAAAGAAGTACCTATTTCTAAAAATGAAACAGGACTGGGGATTTTAATTTAATTCTTTAATGGAATTTGAAGTTTTTAGTTTCTGCTTTTGAAACATGGTAATTCCTGTGCAGCGATGGAATTATATTTTGAAATTATTAACTTAATAATATATATATATATATATATATATATATATATATATATATATATATATATATACCAGCTGCGTTCCAGAATTTTTCAGACATTTTCAAGAAAGACATTTATTAATTTCAAAAGAAGTACCTAGTTCTGAAAATGAAACCGGACTAGGGATTTTAATTTAATTCTTTAATTGAATTTGAAGTTTTTAGTTTCTGCTTTTGAAACATGGTAATTCCTGTGTAGCGATTGAATTATATTTTGAAATTATTAACTTTATAATATATATATATATATATATATATATATATATATATATATATGAAAAATTTCTCCGATTTAATCGGTAGAGATGACAATATTTATGAATAAAAATGACAATAGGAAAACTGGTAATTGCTGACGCGTTTCGTCCAATGTGGACTTTATCAAAGCAAAATACGAAAATGAAATTAAATGAACAAAGTAACTAATAAAAACAGAAACCGAATGTACCTTGCAACTGGAATGTAGAGAAACGCTATTTTCATATTTTTTAACTGAAAAATAACGTCAGAGATTGTCACGTGTGGAGAATATTGTCATTATATCTGTGTTGATGTATTCAGCCATTTTCTTTCAGTTAAAAAATATGAAAATAGCGTTTCTATACGGAACCGTCATTTACGGTGACGTGCCTTAACCGTCTCGGCCACAAAGAACCATACGGTAGATAAGGTCGAATTTACTGTTTATAAACTTCAATCTTCAATGAATCTCGTACATTCATAACTGCTCTGGCGTATCGAATGTAAACAAATGACGTCATATGTTAAGAAATGGACAAGGTCCGACAATTTATTTATTAAAGACATTTTTTTATGTTTAATAAATAACAACGTTAAACATAAAAAGATGTCTTTCATAAATAAATTGTCGGACCTTGTCCATTACATATATATATATATATATATATATATATATATATATATATATATATATATATAGCAGCTGCGTTCCAGAATTTTTCAGACATTTTCAGGAAAGACATTTATTAATGTCAAAGAAGTACCAAACTCTAATCTCTATCAAAGTACGATCCCCTGACTTAAATTCACTTGTTGGAGCGACCCAGCCACTTCGTGACGGTCCCGAGGAAATCATTCAAAATGAATGCATCCAGGACCCTTGTCACAGCCTACTTCCTCTTCTCAATGTCTTCAAAACATCTGCCCTTAATGATCTCCTTCAGCTTGGGAAACAACCAAAAGTCTGAGATGGGGAATGTCTATAAACTGTCGGTTGGTGAAGTAGTACAGTTTTGATGCCCATCTGTGTCAGGAGAACATTCTATTGCATCAAGACCTTCCAAATAATCGTCACGTCCCGACTGTAATCTGCCTGCTAGTCTGCTGGGAAAGAGTTTAGTAGGATGCGCTCAAAGTGCTATTACAATCCTCTTTTTCAGTCTGGAATAACAAAATTTGGCAGCTTAACTTATTAGATGGTTAGTAATTATTTACTACAACTACAATAATTTTGGACAGTTAGAGAAAGGGAGAAAGTGACTGCAGATGAGATGCCAGATTAGGACCTATCCCATTGCATATCCGTCTCTGGATTTTGTCTATGACGTCGAGATGAACAGCGGAGGCACCATATATGGTAACGGTATTCAGTGCAAGGACGAATGGTATATTTGTAGATTTGAAGCATGGATTCAGACGAGAAAAATCTTCTGGCGCGACACAGAGAAACAATCTGTCTTTATATGATTCTATATTTAAAATAAAGGGTGTTCCAATAACTTGGACCGATTGGAAGTCGTTGACAATTTCAACCAAGGAAAGATTAACAATCAAACACCGTGTTAAAGTTATCGAGGTCTATTACGAGAATGAGCGTTCAAACAGAAATGCAATGAGAAGTTCTCGGTTTCTCGAAACAGCTAAGTCAATTGGCCACCAAGATCGTGCGACTTGACGCCTTTAGATTTCTTCCTTTGGGGGTCATCACAAAAGTAAGGTCTATGCCAAGAAGCCAACAATAATTCAACAGCTGAAGGATGAAATAATAAGGCATATTGGTGAGATCGAGGAGCAACTATGCAGAAACGTCATAAAAAATTTTTGACCATTTTCTGTTGTTTAAGAGCTGTAGTAGGATAAGGTAGTAGTAACATCATATGTAAATATACACTTTTCTTTTCACTAAGAGAGTAACAAAGAAACCCCCTCTCTATCTCTCTCTATCTATCTATCTATCTCTCTCTTACACATCCCCCCTTTCCTTCTATTGTTCCTATTCTCTGTAACTGACAGAACCCGGACATAGCTTATGTGGGTCAGTGAACGCCATAGAAAAAAATCAACTAATAACACGTCCCGTCAAAAATCAAATGGAAAACACGGATGCGTCAGTTCCAATAAAAAGAAGAAAAAAACCACGTGCGCGACAGAAAAGCAGAAGAAGTGGGTAATTGGTTCGATATAGCAGTTTTAGATGCCAGGGTTTGAGATTCATCCGATGTGAGTTTGACCGGATATGCAGCTCCAGAAGATTGGACGAATTCAACAAATGAATTTCTGTCAGCCAAAGCACACAACGACTCTCAAATCGCAAAAAGAACTAAGACGATAATCATCTACTTTAACCTCTATAACCAAACGGAGTCAACAATAAAATTGTACTATAGACAAAAAATTTAGCCTTTTACTTATGTATTAGCCAAAACTTCATCTCTATATAACATAGAGTAAATCAAAAAGTTTAAAATGGATATCATGTTAATATCTTATTTTAATTTTATATTGAAAAATATTTTTATTTTTTATTTTTTGTTTGTTTTTGCGTATGTTTGCGTATGCTAGTCTTCTGTTTGTTGTCTGTGGGTTCTTGTGTAGACGAAATAATATGGAGGTATACATTTTTACTATCAAAACCTTTAACTTGCGTGCGGGAGTGCGTTCGAGAGAATCTAGGGAAACAGAGCCAGCGTAGAAGATGAACTGAATGAGAAACGAAGTTATAATTTAGAAGATGTTATGCGCGATTCGGGGGAGGAGTGAGAGGGGGTAGAGAGTGACGGTTGAAGTGTAAAGTGTGAGAAGGGCGAACGGGGACTATTTGACAGGAGATAAATAGCAACCTAAGTGCAGAAGAATGGGGTAGGGAAGAGAGAGAGAGAGAGAGAGAGATGAGAGGGGGAGGGATTGGTAGAGATAAAGAAAGAAAGAAAGATCGTCACTGATGAAAAAAAAAGAAAGAAAAACAAAAAAAAAAAGCAAAAAGATTAAATAAAAGGTCGAGAAAGAAAGAAAGGTAGGGTGAGAGACGTAATGAAAATGAAACGCATAGAACGAAATAAAGAATGGAAATTAAAATAGAGGCAAAAATAAAGAAATTGAACTTTTAAAATGTCGATAGGATTAAAATGAAAAAAGAAAAATGAAAATCCAAAGAAACTGAAAGGAAAAGAAAGGCAAAGAAACAAGTAAACAAAGAACGAAAATAATATATGTATATATATATATATATATATATGTGTGTGTGTGTGTGTGTGTGTGTGTGTGTGTGTGTGTGTGTGTGTGTGTGTTTTTTTTTATTTATTTCAATTTGGTTCTTCGACTAGTTTCGGTCAGCATGGCCATCATCAGGAGAAAAAAAAAAGATTGCTTCTTAGTAACAATGAACTACAGAAATGAATGACTTTTTAAAGAAAATGAACTTTATCTGTGGTTTTCATTTTTTTTTTTTTATCTCTAATTTTGGTTAGTCCTTATGTTGGTCAAACGGCCCCTTTTGAGTCGTTTTTGAGATAGAGGCTGTGAAGATTCATGCGACCCAGAATCATTTTGATAGTTTTATTGGTTGCTGGGAAGGGGACTTGTATGTGTTAAGTGTATGTTATCATTTGTTCTTTGGGAGTGTGTCTGATGTGAATAAGTGTATATATTAGTATGGGTGTGTCTATAAGTGTGAGACCTCAACACACACACACACATATATACATATATATATATATATGTGTATGTATTAAAGAAAAATCCCGGTAGTCATTGACCGACCACGATTGCTAGCATGAAACTAGCAGTCGTTACAGTACAAAAATTTGTTGCAAAAAAAAAAAAATCACGTATAACATCAACAAAAAAATTCGCAGTAATGAAATTTTTTTAATCCAATCAGGATTGAGGGTCCGGATCCTGCCCGGAATGTTTTTTAATTTGCTCACGGATTCAAACTGATTCCAAAATGATATGATATGTTGGTCTACGGTGACTAGGAGTAAAGATGAAATAGTGTGACACACTGACATTCGCATTCCTGATATATATATATATATATATATATATATATATATATATATATATATATATATATATATAGGATATTACATTGGAGCATATTTAAAAAATTTAGAAATTGTCCTAAAAGCAAAACAGCTACCTATTCAGTAAAGTGTCCAACGCCCAGATTAGTTAGAGAGAGCAAAACACGCTTGACACAAAAGGATGGCCCTTGTTGTAACACGAGTTTCCCGCTCACGCGATCTTCACTCATTCAAGTCCACTAAATATCGCGTGAAACTCAGGTTATGCCTGGGGCCATCCTTTCATATATATATATATATATATATATATATATATATATATATAAAAAATTATAATATAAAAAATATGGTATATTTATGTTTAAAGGCTAGAGCGTATATTTATGTTTAAAGGCTAGAGCGTGTATAAATATAAAAGTAGATCAAGATCGAGTGCCAGACAGTTTGTTTCACGGTTGAGTGCAATATTTCCTCCATATGCACTTATTTTAGTAGATATTCGTATTAGAGAAGGCGCTACATTTATTTACTAAACAGTATATTTATTTCTTTTCATCTAACTGTTTGAATGAAAATCTTATTAAAGAAAAACTTCGGTTTCCGTGAGGCTTCGAAACTCTGACAACTTGAGCAGAAGTGGCTAAGCGAAACAACTCTCGTCATAGATTTACTGAAATACGAGTATCCAATCAAAATAATGTTTAAAGAGATAAAAAATTCTGTCGGATTAAGAAAAAAAAAAAAAAACACACAGCCCACAGCGTGGATACCGTAGCCATGCAACATCTTTTAAGTTGAAAAGACTTTGCTGTGGCCTCGCTATGTGAAGGTATTTATTTATTTATTAATTCATTTTTTATTTTATTTTTTGATGGGGAGGGTTACAGTGGAACTGGGTTCTTATTCAGGTTTGGCGGGAAATATAGCGGAGATGAATTGGTGAAGCATGGAAGTGGTGTGAGTTTATATATATATATATATATATATATATATATATATATATATATTAAAAGAAGAGGGTGCCATAAACGTTTTTGGGTTGTAATGTGGATTTATTGAGAAAAAAAAAAAAAAAAACCTCAATAAATCCATTTACAACCAAAAAACGTTTGCACCTTCTTTTTAATATACATACTTTTCTCTCGTTGGAACCACTACAACATATTTCTTTTATATATATATATATATATATATATATATATATATATATATATATATATATATATATATATTCAAAAAGGTGCAATTAATTTACAAATTCATGAATTATTCATACAAAAAACAAATACAAAAGGTTAATGATTTAATTGGCGAGAAATCCACCGTCGCGAACAATTCAAATAATATACAAAAACCCCGAACCTGTTTATGAATGAAAAGATCCTTGTTTCTATAAATACGCACAATTGTAAAATTTAAATTCAAACTCAGCGTTGCGACTGCACGCTCCAAAAATAATAACTCATTTCTAATAGAATTTTTCGGATTACAACAATACATATTTTTTCGTTGTCCTCTTATTACTGAGAGTAAAAACAAGAACAAAATCTATTCCATACCTGAGGATGTCTGTATGAACAGACGAAAGCTTGTAAAAATAATAAGAACTCATGCAACAGAAATTTATAGAAACAAGGATCTTTTCATTCATAAACAGGTTCGGGGTTTTTGTATATTATTTGAATTGTCCGCGACGATGGATTTCTCGTCAATTAAATCATTAACCTTAAAGAAATAAGAAATAAACTCCTGGCGAAAAAGAAAGAAAGTAAGAAAGACAGTAGAAACCGAATTAAGTAAACAACTTTCAAAAAGAAAGAAATATAGAAAAAAAAAACCCGAAAGAAAGAAAGTACGGAAAATAGACATAGAACGGGGGGAAAAGAAATTAAAAAAGAACCTTTCAAGAAAGAAAGAAAAAAAGAATGGCGAAAAGGAGGAAGGAAACAACTGTAAAGAAAGAACGAAAGAAAAACTGTTAATAAGAAGGAATTAGCAACTGTCGAGAAAGAAATGTAGGAAGAAATGCAGAAAAGACGGAAGGAAATAGCTATCAAGAAATAAATAAAGAAAGAAAAGTGAAAAAGAAGGAATGAAACAACAGTTAAGTAAAGAATGAAAGAAAGAAAGAAAGAAAGAAAGAAAGAAAGAAAGAAGAAAGAATGAAAGGAAAAATGTGAAAAGAAGAGATGAAACAACTGATAAGAAGGAAAAAAAGAATAAATATGTAAAGGACGGAATGAGCAACTGTCAAGAAAGAAAGAAAGAAAGAAAGAAAGAAAAAGAAAGAAATGCGAAAAAGAACGAAAAAAAATAACTGTCAAGAAATAAAGAAAGAAAGAAAAAAGGAAAGAAAGAAAGAAAGAAAAAAAGAAAAATGTGAAAAAGAACAGATGAAACAACTGTCAAAAAGAAAAAAAGAATGGAAGAAAGAAAGAAAGAAAAAATGTGAAAAAGAAGGAATGAAACAACTGCCAAAAAAGAATGAAGAAGAAAGAAAGAAATGAAAAAAGGAAGGAAACAACTGTAAAGAAAGAAAGAAAAAGAAAGAAATGAGAAAAAGGAAGAAGCAAACAACTGTAAAGAAAGAAAGAAAGAAAGAAAGAAAGAAAAGAAAGAAAGAAAAGACTAAATGAAGCGATGAAAAAAGATAGAAAACCAAATAGAGGAAAGAAAAGGAAAATAATTAATCTGACAAAAAAAAAAAGACAAAGAGAAGGAAATTCTAAATTTTCTTTCATTAAACAAAAGCTGCGTGAGATACGTCCACATACCAAAGAAAATGGCGCTGGTGGTACAGAGTTGGAAAGGAAGTCGGAAAAGATAGCGAGAGGGAGGGAGGGCGAACATGAAGACTAGATTGGTGAGCCTCAGTACAACTGTGATAGCTACCGTACGCATCATGACTTCAATGAAGTACAAAGCATTAAAATCTTGTTTTATTTCCAAAGCTCTGGCTGTGGGTTTGTGGATTAGGCCGGGCGTGGCGGGGGGCGAGAAATAGGATTCCACAGGCCTAGTGAGTTAAATACGGACGAGGGGATAAATCCTTGCGGGAGAAGGTCACGTTTCAGGGGGTAAAATAAACTGTGTTGTATGGGAAGGGCAAATGTTTAAGGTGTGTGTGTGTGGGGGATGCCCAGAATTCGGCTGTTATTCGTCAGTCAATCGTCAAATCTTTAGTCATCGCTTGCTGCTAAGAAAGCCAAGGAGTTGGGCGACAGGCTCTGGAGGTAATGACCTCACATGACTATCTATATTTCTTTGAACATCTCGGGAGGTAACATCCAGATTTCTGGAGATAACGCAATCACACTAGGTCGGCTGGTTCGCAGAAGCAAAACGGTAAGCACTTTCCTGATTAAAAGCAGATATTTTAAAAGTAATTTACGGCAGTTTGACGTTTTCCATTGCGTTGAAAATTCTTCAGATATTTTGAGTGTTAGTGTATCAATTTAAAGAATTATTAGGTTGTCCTGAAAATAATCGTGTTCAAATATTTTCTAATCATTTAAGCCTAAGCTAGGTAATAAAGCCCCTAAAACGCACTGACTGTACAAAGAATATAAGAAAAAGAAAACAATAATTAATGAGAGAGAACAATAATAAAAAAAACAGAAATTAAGACGAGAGAAGGTAACAGTTGCCATTATATTTAAATTTTTGAAGATCAAACTTAAGTGGAAAACAAGGAGCCGGAAGAGAGTTCCAAGAATGAGAAGTATGAGAAAAAAAAGGTGTTAGCATAGAACTTACAGTGGCATCTTGCCATTTAAACTGTAAAATGTTGAGACTTAGCCGCCAATCTAGTACCGCCCTTCAATTTATAAAGTCGAATACTATTTACATTGCGTCTCAGCGCCAGAAAACCAGCGCCTTACTCTCTGATCACAAGTGGATCCTTCACCTGATGATCTGTTAATGTTGCTTGCAGTCCGAGAAGCATTATAACCAATCTTGAAGTCTCTTTTCGTGTACAAGATGCCGGGTATATAATGTTTTAAATTAAATTCTGAAAGAGATTGATATAAAATTAAGAAACTGGATACTTTAATCATTAGGAATGATTAATATTTTTTTATGGAGCTATTATGATAATATATTGGTCCTGCCCTGGCATCTCGGCCTCAGTCGCGTCCTCACTGCCGTAACGTAGCTTCTATCTGCCTTGTCTATAAATACTTTCATGGTAATTGTTTTGATGAACTTTCTTTTGAATGAGTGCATGTCAGTGTGAGTGATTGGGATGAATGAATGGTTTATACTATTATAGTCCCGCATTGATTTCGGCCAGTGAAGTGATGTTTCTGTCACATTTAGTAATTGTGGTTATTTTATTTCTAATCTTATTTTCTTTAGTTTCTTGTAAATAGTTTTTGTATGCATATTGTAAATACTCATTGGGGTTAACTTTTAGAATTGTTGTTTTATTCCCCTCACCTCACAGACAACGAATTGTAAATATGGGGACTAGTTAGTATTTTCATAGAGACAAAGAGGTATTATGGTGGTTGTAGTAAGAAAGGTACGAATGAATGTGTTGTTTTGGTGTAAGGAATATTGTTTCGTAAGGTTGGGTCAGTGTTTGCGGCTAGCTAAGTTATAGTTAAGACAGAAGAAGACCGTCCTTTCCCCAATCCCCTTTTCGGCCTTGTGCCACATTTATGTATTAAACAGAATAAATATCACTTTCTTTGAAGGTAGATCAACTTTGGTATCTGTTTATATTTCTAGGATGATGTATTATGTACACTATTTACATTGCTCGGACTATCATCCTCATCTTCGTTGCCATATTTATCACAACGTTTCGGCCGTTGTACGCTCTGGCCTTCTTTATGTGGTTGGAATGTCGAACTGAACCCTCTATTTCGCTCGCTGGGTTAGACTGTTCTAGTTCTACGTGCCATGTCTAATGGATGTCAGTTATCAGTTATCTCCTGTTAATTCCCCTCTCCTGAAGAGGAAAAAATCAGAGCAGACAAATTACACTTTTCTGCTAGTATTGACGTTAGTATTAACCGTTTGATTTTGTTTTGAAGTTAACCTCTCGTGTGGTCCAACAGCTTGAGAGTGGAAAAGAGGGCAAGAATAGATTAGAACTCCATTACTATGAATGAAAAGTTATTCCATTTAATCTAGTGAAGTAACGTACGTATACTAAAACTTATTCCTAAGTTGTGTATACGATAGTAGTGTAGTATGAAATTAAAGAAGCTGCTTGAATTTGACCCCCTCCTCCGCAGAAAAATTTCGGCCCCAAGTGCACCCCACCTTTCAGAGTTCCAGAATCGTCACTGGATACGAGTCTTCAAGGTGACGGTGATAGCGGATGCCCATCTGCAATTGACAATCAGCGTCTGAAAAACCTAATCGAAAAAAAGCCGAGTTAAAGAGTCAGAGAAATGTCTCAGACAATAGGGGTCTGCATTTCAGAAATATCGGGCCATCCCAAGACAATTTTCACGATTAAGAAACTCAGTAACTGGGTTTCACACGAACACAGCGAAAATCAAAGGATTTGACGTTTTGAAGTGTGTTCGATGCTACATCTGCGAGATTTGAATGATCCATTTTTTCCCAATGACTATTGTGATCAGTAATGGATCCTTCATGACATAAAAACAATCGGATCATGGCTCGAGTATGAAGCACATCCTACTATCACTGGTTAATAGACACAGTCCAGTTCTGCTTTATAACAATGACCGGCCATTTATTGCCGGGGTTACACCGCAGAAGTTCACCGATTTAGAATACGAGAGTTAATTACTGACGTTCATATGAAATACACCGTTTGACGGGCCTATTTATGATCATGAATTGAGGTTGAGTTTTATATTTACGTTGCTTTGAATACAAAATAGAACAGCCTATCAGATTATTCTTGGAAAAATACCTTCATTTATTGATATATTCTATTGTTTCTGTTTATATTTCTGAGATGAGATATTTTTTTTTATTTTATTTCACTCTAAGCAAGGCGGGAGTGCCACTAACACGCAAGGGGTTATAAAGAGTGAGATCAAATGTAAAGTGGTGTGTTTGAGGAAAGGATATAGAGAAGGGCGAGGCACAAGATCAAGCAACAGAAGATGCCTATTGACATTACATTTGAATATTTGAAGATTATAGCCATCAGGGAAGTAAACAAGAGGAAAGGAGTTCTACAGACTGGAAGTGCGAGAGAAGAAGGTGTTTAAGTAGAAGATACGGTTACATTTAACCGTTTCGACAGTGAAAGTGTGAGATTCAAATACCAACCTAGCTAGTAGCACGTTTAAATTCATGAAGGCTGCGAACAAGCGAAAATAGCTCATTGGAGTATTTACCGTGAAAGTATTTGTAGAAGAGATAGAGGGAAGCCACGGTACGTCTGTGAGAGAGTGACTGTAGACGATATGCCAGATCAGGACCAATTGGATTGCATATCCGTCTCTGTATTTATTTATATTATTTACATTGTTCATACTTGTCCTCATCTTTATTGCCAACGTCTCGGCCGTTATACGTTCCGGCTTTCTTTAAGATCTGACTATATATCTGAGATAGTCATTGTAATTATTCATATTATTTACATTGTTCGGACTGCTGTCCTCATCTTTATTGTCATGTTCACGAAGTTTCGGCCGTTATACGACCTGGCCTTCATCAGGATCTGGGTATATTTCTCAGATGAGGTTTGTAAATATTTACATTGTTCGGACTGTTATCTTCATCTTTGTTGCCATATACACGACCTTTCGGCCGTTGTACGCTCCGGCTTTCTTCAGATGATTGGAATTTCGAACTAAGCCCTTTACTTCCTCCACCGGGGTAGATTATCCTAGTTGCACGCGCCATACCTTTTCCGGATGTCTCAGTTATCTCCATTTTAAATCAAATCTCCAAGATTAAGGTGGCCAGGCACTGAACACTTTGGGTCAAGTCATTGGTCCCAACCAAGGCTAATTGTAACGTAATGTAACCCAGTATGCTCATTGTAACGCAATGTGTCTCAGTTGGTGTGACTTGTAACGTAAGATGACTTGTGATGTAATGTAATCCAGTTTGCGACTTCTAATGTATAATGACCAAGTTTGCTACTTGTAACGTAATGTAACCCAGTTTCTTATTTGTAACGCAATGTAACCTAGTTTACTACATGTAACATAATGTAACCCAGTTTGCTACTTGCAATACAGTGTAACATAGTTTGCTGCTTGTAGCGTGATGAAATCCTCTTTGCTAAGTGTAACGCAGTGTGACACGGTTTGCTACATGTAACGTAACGTGACCACGTTTTCTACTTGTAACGTAATGTACATCAGTTTCTAATTGTAACGCAATGGGACCAAGTTGTCAAATTATAAAGTAATGTAATTCAGTTTGTTACTCCGAATGTAATGTAACCCTGCGTGCTATTTGTAACGTAATGTAACTCAGTTTCCTATTTGTAACGTAATGTGACTCAGCTTGCTTCTTGTGACGTAATGTGATAAAGTTTTCTACATATAACGTAATGTAACCCAGTTTGCTATTGTAACGCAATGTAATCTCCAGTTTGTTACTTGTAATGTAACCAAGTTTGCAATTTGTAACGCCATGTGACACAGTTTGCTATCTGTTGCGTAATGTAACCCAGTTTGATACTTGTAACACAATGTGTCGCCTCTGCTTTTTGATAAGCAATATTGTATAATTAGTCAAGTGGGTAGAGAAAAGGGCGCATCTTCTACAAACATGAAATGAAAGAGTGGGTAGTTTAACGGTTATTGACATGGCAAATATTGACCTTAAGAAAGGCATGAATCCGTCTTTTCCTGATGGGTTAAAACACAGAGTAAACTGGGATTGAATGGCAGCAAGTTCAAGCGAATAACTTTGAATTCAAAACAGGGGAGGAATGCAATGAAAAAACTTTC